TGGATATCCCTCTGGCAGCATACCAGGGACAGGAAAGATGAACTCACTGCCCATTCACACTCTCCTAAGCATAGATTTTAAAGTGAAACAAAACTACTGGTTTCATTTCCCTCCACCTCCCAGATAAGGAGCCCAAATGATCTGTGTGGTCCATCTTTGTGTGTGGTAATACCAACCTTTAGTATAGCTACAGGTAGTCACCAGTGGGAAGCATGCCTTCAGACTCAATGGAGAAACATTATCCAAGCAGAGACTATCTGTAACCTCATTTCCAGGGACTTATGTTTTGTTTTAAATCTTTGAGCACTGGTGGGGGTGAGAACACTCAGAATCAGGCAGAGGGAGATGGCACTTTTTTAAAATAAAGAGGTCAGAAATTCTTCAACATCAGTTTCTATGTACTCAACACCCTCTTTTCTATTTTTAAGCACCAGCCAGGCAGGCACTTTTACTGGTAACACATCCACACAGGTTTCCTTGGCATCCCTCAAATCCTGGCAGCACTATTATATGTGAATGCTGCACTTTTCCATCAATGGACAAGCTACTCTGTTTCCACTCTTTGTAATATTACACCCTCAGAAGACAATTTTGTTGACTGACAAACATCTCTTTCTTCTTCTCCTTCCTTTTACTGCACTGGGATTGGAAGCCTGCACCTCATGAGGGTTAGTATTTCTGATTTGCCCACTTACACAATTAAAAAGCAGTCCCATGGAAGAGCAACTTTATGCAAGGCAAGACTAGTTTAAAAATACAAAATCCCAGGAAAGAGGAATGTGGAGAAGTAGTTCAGCACCTTAGTTTAAATTCAGCCCTGTAAAAGCTCACATGAAATATTCATACTTTAATGTCCACAAAGTAGTTTAATCCGATCTGCAGAATCACAGCTCTGGCAGTATAATATGTCCCATGGCCATACAAAATGCTGAAGTGAGCAGAATATGTCCATATTCCTCTGCCAGAAAAATTCTGACCAGCAGGCAGGCTCTGGTGCAAAGCACTCACTAAACACCCTGTATAACTATTTAATATATGTGCCCTCTGGAAATGCTGAAGGCTTTTCTCCTTAGGTGTCTGTCTCTGATCCTAGCAACGGGCACTGTTTCTTTGTTCAGTGACCTTATGAATAGAAGCACTAAGATCCAGAAAAATTGCTAGCAGCATCGCGGTCCTTAGTGAAGGCCAGCGATTCTCCAGATTTCACCCTAAACATAATTATGTGGAGAAATCCAACTACAGAACTTTTGAGTTCCTCAAAACAACTTTGTCTGTCATCACTCCATTGAACCAACACTATTTATTTGCTTTCGAAAGCAACTCTAATTGATTTATCTGTTGCTCGGAATAACACCATGATAAATAAATTATCACTTAAACATGATGGATTACTAACATTTCCTTTTCTAATTATATTTATGACATATTACTAGGTCTTGCTTCATTTAAAAGCTTACATATGTTTTCCTCCTCCTTGTAATCTAATCTAAGGTGCAAAGCCTGGATTTGTGCCAGCGAACCCCTTTGTTAATATACTGCTGCACTAGCAGAGTCCATCTGGAGTTACTGTTCTGCTTGATGTCACATGGCAGATCCTACCTGCATGGAAGATGAAAGGACATTCAAGGCACGTATCGAGGGATGACAGTTTTCTTTGTGATGAACCACAGAGTCACAGCTTGTTAAGTAAGACTGTGACAGTGATAAAAGACAAAGCCATCATTTTATAGCGGAATATGGCCTATCCGTACATGACAAGCCATACTATCTCTGCTCACACATGCTGACATCTCATAATGCATTCTCCCAAGTGCCGGACAGAAATAGTCCCTGAAGACAGCACCACTAGAGAGTAATAGCATACTGCTTATCTAGGAGCAAATGAATGGAAAAAACCTGAAGTGTACAATGTGTCCCTATTAACATCACAGATAAAGGGAGCTTTCAGTTTAAAGTATTTTCTGTTTTCATCAGAAGTTCAATAGGTTTAGAATCAAACCATAAGGACAATTAAGTTCTCTTCATTGTAAATTATTTTGACTCTTTCAATTATTATTTTTTTTTAAATATTGAGGGTAAATTTACAAAAATCTGTTGGAAACCCTCTTTTTTGGAGGGCTGTGCAGCATACTGTGCGTGCAGTCTTACACTGTACTTAACATTCTTTGCACTTGACATCTTCCCAGACTGTCCAAACATCACTAGCTGGTGTTCACAGGCTCCCAAGCTGCCCTGCAGGGTGAAAGCCCATGGGAATGTAGGTTACGGCAAGAGGTTAACTGCCAGGCACCTCCAGAGCAGGTGGAGTCGGGGAACGGGGAGGTGACACTGTTGGCAGAGGTGGCCGTAGGGAACTCGAGGCTGGTACGTTGCTGGGGGGGACGGGAAGGCCTGGTGGCTTCCTGGGAAGGAGAGGTCAGGGAAGAGACATCAGGAAGGAAAAGATTTAGCTTGAAAGAAGAGGGTGATATGTAAAAGGGCTACAAACCAGCAGGGGAGCATAAGGAAAGAGAAAATCCCTTTTGACTCTGAGGGTATGTCTCAGTTAAGTCGGGCCCTTCACTTGGTTTTAGCCCAAGTCTTTTTATAGTCCACACACAAAAGCTTTAACGATATCTTGACCCTGCTATTGGTAGAAATTGCAACCCATCTGAAACAGGGCAGAAATTAATTCATCTGCTGTAGTGATCCACGTGAAAACCTCTGGGTTCCTACACTCCCACAAGGACAGAGTAGCTCTTCTGCAAGTGCAGCTCACAGCGGGGGAAAACTGTGTGACATCATGAAAAAAGAAAGGCATATTCCCAAAGATAACCCTGAGTGGCTGCAAAATTAGTGATGATGCCGGAATACAAGTGCTGTTTATCAGCAAGATGCTGTAAATGGGGTTAATGTGGGTGTTCAGACTGAGTACCAATCACATGGGCTAACCTGAGAAGTATGCCTAGTGCTCTTGTACATTTGAGACGCATTGGCCAGGGGTTGTAAGTCTTTAGAAGTGACAGTGAAAACCTGTCTGCCACTCTCCTCTCGAGTTGCATGGTGCACACATCTCCCTTTCCTACTGTACATGCAATCATCCCCCTCACTGAATCCTTCCACCTAACACAGCCAAACATCCTGTTCTCGCACTGTAACCCACCCATAAATACCTGCAAAAGTCACTGGTTAATCACCTTCAAAATTTTCCTAAAAATGTTGACCAGTAGCCCATGTCTTACGACCGCTGCCTATCATACTGACCAGCAGTTACTGTTTGCTTGTACCCTCTCCATCTGTTGAATGACTCTCTCTTGTCTTCATACATAAATACTAAATTATTTGGTATAGCTGCAATATCAGTAAGCACAATTGTATTGGTTTTATGTGGCAAGGTTTTGGTAGCGGGGGGGGGTTACAGGGGTGGCTCCTGTAAGAAGCTGCTGGAAGCTTCCCCTGTGTTCGAGAGAGAGCGAGCCCATACCAGCCGGCTCTAAGATGGACCCGCCGCCGGCCAAGGCCGAGCCAGTCAGTGATAGTGGTAACGCCTCTGTGATAATATTTTTAAGAAGGAAAAAAAGTTGGGATGTGGAGAAAACAGCCACCAGAGAGAGGAGTGAGAACATGTAAGAGAAACAACCCTGCGGACACCAAGGTCAGTGCAGAAGGAGGGGGAGGAGATGCTCCAGGCGCCGGAGCGAAGATTCCCCTGCAGCCCGTGGTGAAGACCCTGGTGAGGCAGGCTGTCCCCCTGCGGCCCAGGGAGGTCCACGGTGGAGCAGATATCCACCTGCAGCCCGTGGAAGACCCCACGCCGGAGCAGGTGGGTTCCCGAAGGAGGCTGTGACCCCGTGGGAACCCTGCGCTGGAGCAGGTTCCTGGCAGGACCTGCGGATCTGTGGAGAGAGGAGCCCACGGAGCAGGGTTTCTGGCAGGACTTGTGACCCCGTGGGGGACCCACGCTGGAGCAGTGTGCTCCTGAAGGACTGCACACCGTGGAAAGGACCCATGCTGGAGCAGTTTATGAAGAACTGCAGCCTGTGGGAATGGCCCACGTTGGAGAAAGTTCGTGGAGGACTGTCTCCCGTGGGTGGGACCCCACGCTGGCAGGGGAAGAGTGTGATGAGCCCTCGCCCTGAGGAGGTGAAGCGGCAGAAAATAACATGTGATGACCGTAAACCCCATCCCTGTCCCCCTTGTGCCGTTGCGGGGGCTTGGTGGAGAAATCCGGGAGTGAAGTTGTGCCCGGGAAGAAGGGAGGGGTGGAGGGAAGGTGTTCTGAGATTTCGGTTTATTTCTCATTTACCTCACTCTGGCTGATTTGTAATAAATTGAGCTAATTTTCCCTAAGCTGAGTCTGTTTTGCCCGTGATGGTAATTAGTGAATGATCTCTCCTGTCCTTATCTCGACCCGCAAGCTTTTTGTTATATTTTTCTCTCCCCTGTCCAGCTGAGGATGGGGGAGTGATAGAACGGCTTTGGTGGGCACCTGGCGTCCAGCCAGGGTCAACCCATCACAACAATTAATAACAGCAACATTAACCAAAGTATTCAATAGTAAGCCTCTTGACGGCCTTTTTTATTGCTATTATAGTTAGCGCAGCATTTCTGATTTGTGTCACAACTTCAGTTATGTAGATCAACTGCTTTTTTCCCATAGTTGTTGACATAATCAAATAGACACTTTTTCAAATTTCCAGTCTTCTGGGCTCTGGAGTTTAAAGCCTATATTGGCACTCAGGTCTCAGTACCCTTATCTCCATTTATATATTTACAGTACCTTCCTCAGTTATCCTCCTGAACACTTTCTGAAGCATCCTCCTGCCATTCTCATTTTCATGCCTTCCTTTATGGGGCTTCTCAGACCTGGAACCCCTCTGTCCCTCTGATTTTGTTTTGTGGGAATCTCTCTCTGCTAAAGAAAACAGCAAAATTATATTCAAAGACAAAATGTTTCAGAAATAAACAACTCCTAAAACATTTCAGGCACTTCACTTGATATTTGACCATCATAGAATCACAGAATCATAGAACACCAGGTTGGAAGGGACCTCAAGGATCATCTGGTCCTCCCTTTCTGGGCAAAAGCACGGTCTAGACAAGACGGCCCAGCACCCTGTCCAGCCGAATCTTAAAAGTGTCCGATGCTGAGGGAGGCATCCAATGTTGGGGAAAAATCTATATTTGAGTCATACAGATTATGTATACATGACATAATGGACGTGGTACACAGAGTTGTCATGATAACAGATTAGAAAGCTCATATAATACAGTGCTGTTGCAGCTGGAGTCCCACAATCTGCTACACCTCAGCTAATAAATGCTGTGTCTCAGCTTCATATGAGCTTGGACAGACAGTTTCCAGTTCCAGACGTACCACCACTCACAACTAATTTGATGTCTCCACTCCTTCACTGGTGTAGTACAGCCATAGTTAGTCTGATGTAGGTTTCCATCCCATAAATTCTTAGGTATGCATTTATCTGGCTATTAAGGATATGCAATGTTTTATCTCTTCTAATTTTACTATGGGTAAAGACCATGTTTTTGAAAGCTCTTTATCCTGAAGTTGTGTCATTATGTAAGAGTTCCATTTTTCATTTGAAGAGAAACTCTTTAACCTTTAAAGAACATTGTTCAAAAATCTGAATTCATATAGAGACAACTCACTTTTTCTTGTTCTTAATTTTTTCCTGATTTTTCAGCCATTCTAACGATTTTTGGATACCCTGTTCTGGATGTTTTACAATTGGAGTTAGCTCTACTAAAGTACTTTGCTGACTTTAAGCAGACTGAATTTTTAGCTTGTAAACTAATTACAAAGATCATTTTTGTTCACACATTCTGAGCATAGGCATAAATTGCAAAAGTGTCTTCCAAACATTAGATTTTCGAGAATATGAGGGTTTTTATAATCCATTTTGAAATCTTATAGCTTATCTGTTTTCTTCTAGCCAAACCATCATATGATTTTGAAATTGGAACGGACAAATTGTTTTGTGAAGACAATCATCATTTCACCTGAAAAAGAACTTTTTTTAGAGATTCATAAAGTATAGCTAGCTTTTCCTTGGAGTTTTTAAACTTTCTGCACACCATGGTTCCAGTCTGGATTACAAGTGCCAAAATGCCACAAAAAAAGACTGTTCCCTCAGTATTTTTGGCTTAGTGAGAGACAGAAAGTGCTGAAAATTTTGTAAGAAAAAAACCCATAGTGAGAATTCCCGCTCAGCATTTAGATCAAAAAGGCTGATTAAGCACGGGAGGTTGGGGAGGTTTTTCAAACTGAACTGATGCTATAGATCTGCTGAATTTTGCTGATAGGTTTGGTAATCTGATTGAATACTGTCTCATGTGTGCTCAATTTTAATATTTTGGGAGGGCTTCATATATACTTAAAATGGGATAGCCTGAAGCCTAAATCTGCCTTCGGTGACCTTTGCTGTTGGGCGAGTATGAATGTGCAGAAAATATGCCAATTGATGACTGAACCCTGCCATTGCCATCATTGTTAGCTATACATTTGTTTGTCTTATTAAGGAGCAACTAAAGTTACACGGGACAGTGACAAAAGTTTGAGAGGTTTCCCACGCAGGGCAGGAGCTCCAGGCTCCTTCTGTGGCTCTTGGCGAGGCAGAGGCTGCCCCAGCGCTCAGGTTTCACTCTGCCGGACACAGCATAGCATCTGGGGGGCTGAATTTGCCACACCTTCCACGGCAGGGCACAGAGCAGCAATCTGTAATACCGGAATGCTTTGTTTAACAGAGACAGAGGATGGAAGAAGAGCATGTCCTAGGAGCTGTGGAGGACTAGGGTTAGATGTCAAATCAGTCTAAAATTTCCCACTTTTCTGTTGTTTCTCCATACAAGGTGTTTCGGGTTCACTGCTGACTTGGAGCAGGAGCAACACTCGATCTCAGGAAGACTTGCTGCATGCCTCAGGAACAACCACTGGAATATGTTTAAGGTGGCTCTGGTCATTGCTTTACCTTGACCCTGATCACATATGTTTTCTTTCCAAAACATGTCTGAATACTCCAAAATGCACGCAAGGTTTTTTTTCTACAGCAACGCTGATTAGAGTTTGTGAATTGGCAACACACTAGTTACTCATGTAGGCACCCAATGCACAGTGAATATGAGATAACCTCCTCCATATCAAAGCTAAAGTGTGAACTTAGGGATGCTTTTCGGAAGTGGAGTAAATTACTTCACACGTTGCTAGCTAAGAGAATCCGCAAAAGGAGTTAGTACGGAGTAGCTCATGAGCTTTAAATTCACACCTCGATTTTTTTCTTTATGGTAACTTTTCATTTAGAGAAGCATTCAGACATTTTACTTCTGAGACTCTTAGTTCAAAAAGTGTTCAGTCTCTTAAAAAATGTAATGTAGTACTCTTGTATTTTCTTCCGCAATCCCACTCCTCCATAAACTGAATTACACACTTTGTGGGTAGTTCTGATGCAAAATAACAGATAGAAATAATACATATGTTCAGAGGTAATGTGTAGGGTTCAGCGTTCGGAAGATCTCGCGATGTCACGGAAAGTTAGAGGGTTAGTCGCAGCCTTATGATGTGTCTGTAATCCCGCCTACCCTTGTTAGTATAAAAGGAATTGACTGCGCAATAAAAGGCGGAAGTTGGCGCTCACACTGTGTGTGTTATCTGTCTCTTTCCCTGGTCTGGGGGGTGATCAGTGATCTAATCGTGGCACCTTGATATGCGGCGAACGCTACAGTAATGAGACAATTCTATTGAAAAATAAATATAGTGTTAACATGGATCATTGACATATGTTGCAGACAGTTGAAATATCAAGGATGTTTAGTTTTAGTATATTAATAATACTGACAATCTTATGTAACTTCTTATACTTTAGGTCTTGCATCTTGCCTGGCTTCCAGCCTTTAATAAGTTCAAAACCAAGGGAATCTTGCCTCTTGAACAGCAGGAGCTTCCAAAGCCAGCCCTCCCTGACACATTGGGAAGAACACAGCAAGAGAAGCACTTCCCACCAAATCCTGCTGTCATTCCAGATGCACAAGAATTTTTAAAAGCAAGAATCTTGAGCCACAGAATAATTCAGGTCTGGATGGACCTCAGGAGGTCTTCAGTTGAATCTCTTGCTCAAAGCAGGGTCAGCTGTGTGATCAGACCAGGTTGCTCAGGGCTCTACCCAGCCTGGTCTTGACACCCTCCAGGGATGGAGACTGCACAAAAATCATCTGCAAAGAACCAGGCTTGTAGCCATATTTTGAATTGTTTTGTTCAAATTCCCACTTCATTCAAAGTGATCAAGCAGGTGGAGTGCTAGTGAACTTGCCAACCTTTTTGATATGAAATGTGCTGAAGCACAGGGGAAGTGAGGATGCTTACTTAGAGAAGGTGTCCTGGGCTAGAAAGCACCAGTAATGGCAAACTATGTAAAACAAACTCTTTCAGAGTCTTCAAAGGATCACCAAGAAGGTAGCTTCATCACTTTCCACAAGGTCCTAAAACGAAGCATTTTATCCAAAATTCCAGGCTTTTCACCTAGCAATAATCTTCCTGTAAAAACTAATTTCTATAGACACAGACTTTGGTTAAAGATAAAAGATCAGCCAGTTGGATAGGTCTTAGTGACGCTAAGCAGAAAATAAGAAATAAAACACAGTGTCCTGGTTCCAGCTGGATAGAGTTAATTTTCTATCTAGTAGCTGGTACAGTGCTGTGTTTTGGATTTAGGATGAGAAGAACGTTGATAACACACTGATGTTTTCAGTTGTTGTTAAGCAGTGTTTAGACTAAGTCAAGGATTTGTCAGCTTCTCATGCCCAGCCAGCAAGAAGGCTGGAGGGGCACAAGAAGTTGGGAGGGGACACAGCCAGGACAGCTGACCCAAACCATCCAAAGGGATATTCCATACCATGGGACATTATGTCCAGTATATAAACC